GATTGTCTTCAGAAACATTTTTTGTTATGCTGGTTGAAAGTCTCTTCACATCCCGATAGCAATCATTAAGTTAAGTGGTCTAAATGTATTTATCTGTATTTATATATTCTGTGGAAGGCGTAGGACCAAGAAATGTTTGTCCAATCAAAACACTTGGTCCGAGCATTTTAATTAGCTTTCCTATCTGTCTGTCAACGTATGTATTAGCATACCTCTGTGCACCCGGTTCGCGCAGATAGGATACGTCATCAGTGCGTTCACGCACGCTGTGCAGACAGAGCGAGAATGGCAGACAAACATCAACAACCCGATCTTCCTTCCTGGTATTGTAGTACTTTTACTAACTGTACTATAACGTTTTCTCACCGGTGAATGGCACATGATGTAGCCCAGCGGTTCCCAATTCCATGCCCGCGCACCCGCCAGCCCCCGCCGCTGCATATTTTGCATGTCTCTCTGCAGTGTTCATATCTGCGCTGCGCAGCGTCTTCACACACAGACGAAACTTACTAGAGAAGTGTGAAATGTGACATAATATACCTCTGTAAATTAATCGAGCGAGGACTGGAATTGGGAACCACTGATGTAGCCTATTGTAGTAATGATGTCTCTGGTATTCGAGGTCTGTGAGCGTTTATGCGTTCAAGCGGCGTGGCTTTGGACGGTGATTGCAGGGAGGGTGGGACGTTCGCTTTCAGTGTTATCAGGCTAAAGTTAGCATTTTCCAAGATCTCCTACTGCACCTTTAATTACATTGCTTAATGTAATTGTACAAACATTACATAACCTCTTCACTACAGTCAACAGTTAACATTTTTTACCTCTTACCCAGAGCTACAGGTGCATCTCAATAAATTAGAATGTCGTGGAAAAGTTCATTTATTTCAGTAATTCAACTCAAATTGTGAAACTCGTGTATTAAATAAATTCAATGCACACAGACTGAAGTAGTTTAAGTCTTTGGTTCTTTTAATTGTGATGATTTTGGCTCACATTTAACAAAGAAAACGAACATTTCAGTTGTATTGCTGTCTATGCAGGGTCAGACAGCTCTCAGATTCCATCAAAAATATCTTAATTTGTGTTCCAAAGATGAACGAAGGTCTTACGGGTCTGAAACAACATGAGAGTCAGTAATTAATGACAGAATTTTCATTTTTGAGTGAACTAACCCTTTAAAGCAGTGCTGGAAGAAATGTTGTGTGCTATAGCCCTTCTTTTACCCAGAGGGCACTTCTACAGGCATAAGACTTTAATAATGGAGGTCAGGTCACTCCTGTGCTGCCAAAAGTGTTGCCAGCTTCACTCATGCCAACCTCTAAGGCTCTGCTCCAGGATTGGCTCTGGTACTGTGACTGGCGCAGTCAGGGAGACACTATGCCTCAGTTCACACAATTACACACACAACTTTTCACACCACGCCCCCGCTCCAGATTTTCTGTGCATTTGCACCATTAGCTTGGTTAGTGTGAATTTCTCACACCAAACATTATGTAGGTGATGGTTGTATAAAATCAACAGGACAGGTTTCCCCACAGGAGAAGACTGCAGGCAGGAAAGCAAGAGCATTTAGGGTTAATTGATTCTCTCTATCCTTTAAGCGCCAAATTCCTTGACACGTCTGTGTGTGGTGGCTCTTGATGCCTTGACCCCAGCCTCAGTCCATTCCTTGTGAAGTTCACTCAAATTCTTGAATCGATTTTGCTTGACAATCCTCATAAGGCTGCGGTTCTCTCGGTTGGTTGTGCATCTTTTTCTTCCACACTTTTTCCTTCCACTCAACTTTGTTAACATGCTTGGATACAGCACTCTGTGAACAGCCAGTTTCTTTGGCAATGAATGTTTGTGGCTTACCTTCCTTGTGAAGGGTGTCAATGATTGTCTTGTGGACAACTGTCAGATCAGCAGTCTTCCCCATGCTTGTGTAGCCTAGTGAACCAAACTGAGAGGCCATTTTGAAGGCTCAGGAAACCTTTGTAGGTGTTTTGAGTTGATTAGCTGATTGGCATGTCACCATATTCTAATTTGTTGAGATAGTGAATTGGTGGGTTTTTGTTAAATGTGAGCCAAAATCATCACAATTAAAAGAACCAAAGACTTAAACTACTTCAGTCTGTGTGCATTGAATTTATTTAATACACGAGTTTCACAATTTGAGTTGAATTACTGAAATAAATTAACTTTTCCACGACATTCTAATTTATTGAGATGCACCTGTATTGATGAAAGAGATTAAAAAAGGTGGGAAATGAATCATACACCAAAGCTTGCTTTTTGTGCACATGTGCGTAGATGTGTTTGGTTACCTGTGTAGTAGCTGTTGACGTGGTGCTGCTCCGGGACCCCCACATCTGCTGGAACTGCACTCTGATCTCAGCAAATGTTTCAATAATCACAGCGATGAACACGTTCTGGGAACACGAGTAAAAGAAATCACAAAAAGTTAGGCCCATAAATGATAGATAGCTTATGCTTGTTTTCTGACAAATAAGTGAAAAATTTGAACACATATCTGTGTTAATGATAAAATACATATATGTCATATGTAACATTGTCTTTAACATTCATTGAGGTTTAATTCTGTTTGTTATAAACTGATGGATGATTTAAAAAGATTTCCTTTGGTAATCAATAGCCACAGATTCTTTCAATAGAGCTTAACTTGCATTGAACATTGAACACCCCTTGCCTATGTGAATTGAAGGGGGTCAAGTCATACATTTTATTTCCTCTGAGGTCCACACTACCTTTCTAAACTAAAAGTAACTTTCTAAACTAACTAAAAGTTTGGGGTCTGTCTTTTAAATTAATTAATACTTTTATTCAGCAAGTTGCAAGACCTGACCAAGACGGTCACCTCTGTGTTTTCCCCTCCGTTTGTTTTCTCGTTTTCCCCGTGTCTTTTTTTCTGTTGTGTTCCCTGGATGGATGCCATTCTTCGGCCCGAATACCTCCTCCTCCTGCTGGAGCAGGGGGACAAAGCTATCGTGGACCATACTAGACTGTTCCTGCTGCTAGCAAACACCACCAGCTACCCGGACGACACGCTCTGTGCGTTCTACGACGCCAGTCTAAACATCGAGTGCAGAGCGTCGTCGTCCAAAGATGGTCCTCGAGAGAACTTCGCCTCATTTGTGGAGTGGATCCATAGATCCACTCCGGACCCAGAGCCCAGCCCACCATCTCCCCGCTGCGAGGAGCGCAAGCCCGAGCCCACCAAGGAGAGCCAATTCCCGCCGTGATTAACGAGCCAGCGCAGTGCAGAGCGACTGAGCAGAGGATCGCCCCGGATGCAGAGCCCATTCCGTCTGAGCAGATGCGAGAGCCGGCGACCACGCCCGCCACGAGGGAACAAGCCAAGGACGGTGAGAGCATGGTGTGGTCTCTGCCCACTGCACCACGGCTGAGGGTGAGCTTATCGTGCATCTTGGACTGCTGGACGTAGAGGGGGACCTTATTGACTGGGAAACAGATCTGGAGACCGACTGGCCCCCTCTCCTCTCTCCTTCATCTCCTGTCCCCAAGTCCAGCCAGGAGTGGGCTTTGATTCTGGAGGGCAGCCCTGAGAGTCCGGAGGCTCACGAATGCCCAGACACCCACCCGCTCCTGCCTCCTCTACTGCTGTTGTCTGGCAGCCCCTCTGCTCGCTCTCAGCCCACCATCTATATGGTGCGAGCTCCGCGAGTCTGCCATCCTCCATCGTCGCCATGGCTGGAGAATCCCTCACCTCCACCACCAGCCTCCGAGGGCCGGACTCCGCCTCAGCCCGTAGACCCAGTGGCTCCACCTCGGCTCCTAGCTCCCTCACCTCCACAGTCACCCGTCGATCCACCAGCTCCACCGGGCTCCCTCGTCTCTCCGGCTCCGCCTTGGTCGGGCATCGACCCACCATCACCTCTGGACTCTGCTCCTCTGGCTGCAACTCGTCGCTCCATCCCACCAGCTCCGTTGGGCTTCTTCCTCCCACCAGCTCCACCTTGATCCTCAGTTACTCCTTATCAGTTACAGAATCTCCGCCTCGGTGCCCAGAGCCCTCGGCTCCACCCTGGCCCCCCGGATCATCGGCATCCCCCTGGCTCGTTGGCTCTCCGTCTCCGCCTCGGGCTCATCCACCACCTGCTCCGCCGCCGGTCGGCCCCCTGGAGTCGGCGGCCATTCCTCGTCCATGGCTCCTCCCTCTGTTGGCTCTGCCCTGGGCTACCGTTTAGGGCTGTGGGCTGGGTTCTGCTTAGCTCCTCCTGCTGCAAGCCCCTCCTGTCTCCTCCCTGCCTCCTCTCTCCTTCGTCACACCCATGGACTCTGTCTGCTGGGCCCCTCCCGGGTGTCCGTCCTCCTCCTGAGCCTCCTCCCAAATTCCCACCGAGCCCTCCCTCTGGTGTATCTACGGTGCGAGGACGCACCACCTGTCAAAACTTTTGGACACTTCTTGTCCCCGTAGTGCTTCCTGTGTGCCCCCTGGAGTCGGCGGCCATTCCTCGTCCATGGCTCCTCCCTCTGTTGGCTCTGCCATGGGCTACCGTTTAGGGCTGTGGGCTGGGTTCTGCTTAGCTCCTCCTGCTGAAAGCCCCTCCTGTCTCCTCCCTGCCTCCTCTCTCCTTCGTCACACCCATGGACTCTGTCTGCTGGGCCCCTCCCGGGTGTCCGTCCTCCTCCTGAGCCTCCTCCCAAATTCCCACCGAGCCCTCCCTCTGGTGTATCTACGGTGCGAGGACGCACCACCTGTCAAAACTTTTGGACACTTCTTGTCCCCGTAGTGCTTCCTGTGTTTTCCTTATATGGTCTTTTTCCTGTTCTTGTTTAGTTTGATTGCCTTCTGATTCCTTGCACCTGAGTTCCTTATTATCCTGTGTATATTAGTTCGTGTCTGTTCCTTAGTTCTTCGTTGGGTATACTCGTGTACGTGTGTGTGCATTGCGCCTATTGTATGGATTTCCCCTGTGTTCTATGGATATGCGTACCGTGACACAAATATGATTAAAATGATTAAAAGTGATAGTAAAAACATTTAAAACAAATAAAAAAATCTATTTCAAGTAAATGCATTTATTTCAAACTTTCTACACATTAAAGAATCCTGAAAAAAGAAACACAGAATCAGTTTCCAAAAAAAATAAAAAATTAAGCAGCACATTTCAATATTGATAATAATAAGAAATTTTTCAAATCTGCATATTATTATGATTTCTGAAGGATCGTGTGACTCTGAAGACTAATGACATCTGAAAATTCAGCTTTGCCATCACAGAAATAAATTATGTTTTAAAATATATTAAAATAATATGAAAACAGTTGTTTTAAAATTTAATAATATTTCTGTTTTTACTGTATTTTTGATCGAATAAATGCAGCTTTGGTGAGCCTAATGGACTTATTTCAAAAACCTTTAAAAAGCTTACTGATCCCAAACTTCTGACTGGTAGAACATGCACACAATAACTGCACTGAAATAAAAATTTTAAGGCCCAATATATAATATAACACAATATATTAGACACCTAGAATAACCCTCACTTTTCTATGTCTAGAAATTAAGGAGGACCCATGTGCAGATTATGACTAAGTTTTTGCAGATCGCTGGTGTGAGAAGAAAAGGATTTTTCCACCTTGACCAGCCAGGCGAGGAAGAAGATGAGCGTGATGAAGTAGAAATATGAGCGCCAGCGTGGGAAGCTGTCAATGGCTCGATACATGATGAAGACCCATCCCTCCTGAGACGCAGCCTCATATACAGTGAATATACTGGTGCCTGCAGGAGGAGATGACAAGTAGGGTCATGACAGGGACATAAGAAGACAGAGGAAAGGGAGAAGCCCATGTCTGAGATGTTCTTGTGCCCCCGGAGTGGTCCGAATGGGCACTGAGACACAAAAATTCAGACATAAACACAGTCTTGGCATTAGTGAACCTTGTCAGGTGCTTCCTATTGCCCAGCTATGCATTTCTCTCTCCAAACAGCTGAATGAGATGGTTATTCTGACTTCTGAAGTACTCTTTGGTTCCATGTTGTGCTGGAGTGTAACAGTAGCTGTGAATCAAAGGAACTAGGCTAAATGAAGAACTACACACTTAAGGACAGATTGCTTTCATGGCTATGTTGTATTATGTCTTTTTAATCATACAAGTGTGATTTCTTCATCTCTTATGAAGAAATCACACTTGTATGTTGTATTATGTCTTTTTAATCATACAAGTGTGATTTCTTCATAAGAGATGAGAGGAAAGAGGACAAATTCCCAAGGAACTTAAATGAATAGTCTGTTGTTATTTACAGTATTATTTAGTAATTCTGTTATTTAGCCACCCTCACACTGTTCCAAACCCGGTGTTATACAAAAGAAGTTGTTTAGCTATTTTTTTCAAAAGTATTTCATTGTCTTTTCCATACAATTAAAAATGAATAGGGATGAATGTCATTATGGCACCATCACATAACAAAATTACTAAAACCAAAATTTCAATATACTTTTTATAAATATAGTAATAAAACTTAATTCAAAATATTAATAGATACTATAGTAGTATATAAATAATACTAAAATAACACTGTTACTTGTACAGCATATACACCATAAACAATTGACTTATTTCATACACAAAGTGCATGAGGTGCTTTCTACTTCCAAGCCCTCAATGATGTTATCTCTGCACTCACGGTGACCCATGATGCCGTGCTGCGATATGGCTGCCAAAGGCCAGCAGGAAGCATGCCACTCAGTTCTGCTTCCTGCCATTTCCCACCAGGTCCAGGGGCAAAATGGGCCAAGGACACTGGCAGAGTCCTGTAGGGTCTTAGGCTTAGGGAAGGTTAGCTTCACCAATCATACAACATATACTTTACAGGACCTATATTAATGAAATACACTATTTCACTTGGCTTTCTCACAAAACTGTGTTAAATCAATATGTAATTCACATTAGATAAAGTACATACTTCAGTATAAACATTAACAGAGTCTTTCTCTGGAAGAATTAGAGGGAAATGCACTTGGCAAACTAAGGACTCCCATTAAAAATCACTTAGGGATAAATCACTGTGTCCAGAGATGCCTAACAAAAGGGGAAAATAAACTCTATTCCAATTTCATCCTGAATGACCTAAGAGAGTATACTAAGACTTACATTTCTAAGAAAAAAAGACAATAGCTCAGCAATCCTTAAACACTAATATTCCAAAAGATTTGACTCGTTCCTACAACAGTTAATAGTTTGAAATAAATTAAATTAAATTAAAGCCAACAAAAGGAGAGTTTTAATGTAATTAAAATAGATGAATTTAAATAATTAATTTGTTTAAAAAAAGTTTTTTTTTAAACACGGGACTTAATTTTGTGGTGGGGTCAGTGAAAATGTTGGCAGTCCAAAAGGAACAGCAGAAAAAGAAAATATATTAACCCTGACATTGGACTTTTTCCCAATCATACTTTATGTTTCTGCATCCCTGAATCTTGGAAGCCCAAAAAAATGCATTGTTGTTGAGGCTGCAAACCACACTGTGAACACGGATGAATGGACGACAGATCACTGATACAGGAGCAGTTCTGGTTGACTTACACATGACTTATCTGTGTACTGAACTCTATAAATAGGACGAAGAAGGGCCCTTTCGCAGATCTCAATGTTCTGTAAGTCAATGGTTCAAAGCCTGTTCAAAACAGTTTTTAGGGAAAAGCCTCACTTCATGGCTATTTGGAGATTAGTGGCACTGCTCTGTGTACCTTTCTAGAGGATTTATCTCAAATGGGAGCGATACAAATATGGAATGCTGCTTCGTACAGATCAAGGTGCTTAAAAAAACTGGTCTATTTGTGAAGCTGCCTTCACGATGTTTTGAAATTTAAGCCAATATTACATTTCATAAATGCAGCGACAGAGGGCATTTATGTTTACGTTTGCTTGCACATAATGCATACATCAACTGGAAACACTTCAGTCAACAATGCTACAATTAATCACACTTAGTCACTGTGAATAATTACAAAGCGCAAAGACGATATAATTTTCAACAGACAACTAAAACTAAACCATTCGACTTTAAATTTCCTAGTAAAAAGGCCAGAGATAATGATTTTAGTGTACGCCACTGGTGTCCAATCTGGCTTTGAGGAAAGAATTCAATGATATTCATAATTCATAATATTTATATTCATAATATCAGATTTTTAGTAACAGCAGTACAAATTTTCCAGGTGCAAACTGGAGAGAGAAAATAATAAAAAAAATAATAATATAAACTCACAAAAAATAAACAAAATTACAAACATTTTGATCATGGCAGATGGACAAATGTGAAGCATCACAATGACTCACCAAGCTCATTGAAGCCACTGTATCCGAGTTCCTGTCTACTGAGTCCCAAGTCTTCCAAATCCACACACTTAAACCCCGCCGGACACTGATAACCCTCCCCATTCGGAGAGCAGTGTGTATCAGGGATCGCTAGGCTGTTCCATGTCACATTACTAGAAATAGACCAGAGTGTGTTTTCAAAGAATCATCATCAAATGTTAAATCTGATCAAATTAACCATTATTTTGTAACAGGTCATCTGGTGTATTCTATATTTAATACTATATATTATATATAATATTAAATACTTACATTAATAATTGCTCTAAAACACATAAAATAATGACATTTTTACTAGTCCCATGCTAAGTCCCACACTAATTTCAGTAATGTCAACAGCTAAAACTATTTTTGAGTTCACATTTGCCCTACATAATTTAACGCAGTACACAGTTAAAATGCAATTAAAAGAAATCAAGTTTATAAGAGAAACACAATTTTGTTTAAATCTGTTTTTGTGTTTTTCTCGTTGACACACACACACACACACACACACACACACACACACTTACTGTATTTGTGTCTTGATTTTAATAAAACATTTATTTGAGAAGACTTACATTCAGGAAGCATCTATTAAATTAAATTATCTTCATTGTTTTTTTTTCTTGTTTTAAACATTTTAAACAGTGTTTAGTTTTAAACACTATTTGCCAAATGATACAAAAAATAAACGTAATATATATTGTCTGAAAACAAGTCTTAATGTCTTATGCATTTAAGCTCTCAATTTATGTTTAATAAATGTTAATGTTTTAAGGGTGTTCAGATATTTTACTGGAAAACAAGAGGGAAAATACAGATTTTTTTTTGTCAATCCTGTTCTCTTAAGAGTAATATTTGTTACTATAGTGACAAATAAAGCACCTGAAAAATAAAACGTTGTGACATCAAATCTAAAAATTTATCCCCAACAGACACAAGTCTGGTAAACTCCCTTGCACATTTATTCCATTGAATCCCTGTGAGATTAAAATCCCTGCTACTCTGTGCCTAGGACACGTACTGTAATTCTGTAAGATAATCAACAATGAGTTTTCTGAAATACACTTCCACTTGCATGATGCATGAAAATCCTGCCCATATACATATATTATATGGCAGGCAATATTGTTTACCGTGCCTAACCCCTTTTGATTGTTAATATGTTGAATGTCAGTGCAAGGTCGGGGTGAGATATCTTGCAATATAGGAGCTCTTTTCTCTCATGTACATAGACGGATTTAGGCCAGGCTGCTGAAAAGAGGCGAGCATGTGCACGACACCCAGGCAACACAGGAAGCGTTAATTATTGTGATTAGTGCTCAGCACACTCCTCTGTTGCTGATGGTATAGACTCTTTGTTTTAGAGCCGGCTCTGACACACCATTCATTTGCAAGGGAATATTAAATAGGCCTGGGTTTTAAAAGAGAACCACCTCCACAGTTCCATACACACACTGCATTAAGACTGCGCTCAACCCTGCTTTCATCACGCCCCTTAAGTTGGGATGTGTGCAAGTGTTCCAGCAAGATTTACTGTTCATTTTTAGCCATGAATTTCTGTTGCCTTATCAAGCACCTCCATGTGAAATTCAGACAAACATATAATATAATGTCGCTGTTCATACTATTTAGTGTTTATGAGGCCGTGACTTCACATGATGAAAATGATGATCTGTTATTAGTACCGTTTACAGCTGCTGATGGGATTTATATTCCAAAGAACAGATGTGTGTAGGAGGTGTACAGCAACAGACGCATACTTCTTATCTTTCGCTGATGCCAGGAAAAACTGCAGCATAATGTTAAATCCCCTGATTCATCCCAGGGATTATACACCACAAGGAGTGTGATAAAGCTCACCACAAAAAGAGAAGTTCTTAACTTCTTGGGCTATTAAGTTAAATCTAAGACAGCTGATTTTATTGTATTTAATATAGAAGCTTTTTTCTGCCACGGGATAAGTTTTTATCTCACAATTCCGACCTTTTTCTTTCAATTATAAGTTTATATCTCACAATTCTCATTTTTTTTCTCACAATTTTCAGAACTGAGAGATATAAACAAAGCAAAAATAAAAGTAATATTAATAAATAACCTAAAATTAGATAAAAAGTTGCAATTATGCGGGATAAGTTTTTATCTCACAATTCCGACCTTTTTCTTTCAATTATAAGTTTATATCTCACAATTCTCATTTTTTTCTCACAATTTTCAGAACTGAGAGATATAAACAAAGCAAAAATAAAAGTAATATTAATAAATAACCTAAAATTAGATAAAAAGTTGCAATTATGTTTTTTATTTTTTATTTTGGGGCAGAAAGAAAAAACAGAACCACAAGATGTAAACTCATAATTTCTGAGAAAAAAAGTCAGAACTATGAGATATAAATGCAGAATTGTGAGATGTAATCTCAAGGAATTTATATTTTACAATTCTGAGAAAAAAGTCAGAATTATGAGATATCAAGTCATCAAATTACCTTTTAAATTTTTATTCCATGGTAACAACAAGCTCCATTGTTTAAAGAGAATAGTGTTGAAACTTGCTTACCCTTTCTGTGTATCATTGGTGACGCAGTGATGATTGAAGGTTCCAAACATCTGAACCCCCAGGATTCCATATAGGAGCAGGAAGAAGAGCAAAAATATGGACACACTCCAGATCTGCTCCCCTGACCGTCTGAAAGGAAGTGAATTTTAAGTGGCTGATATGGAAACAAATTGACATTTCTCACATTCTTTGCGCTCGTGGGGCTCTTACTTGAGAATGTTGGTTATGCGGGTACGTGGCAGTTCAAATCGGAAGTAGATTCGAAAGGCTCGGATCATAATGAGGGCCCTCGGTATACGTAACATTCCCCAGGGTGACATTTGGTCCACAATCTCTGCTATTTCAAACACCTTGAGACCATTCAGAGGAACAAGTGGATGAGCGGAGTTCCCTATGAGCTCAGTTCTTTTTATTTGTAAGGAACAATTTATTTGGGAAATAACACTGAAGATACAGTAATCTCCTTACCTGAAGCACAAGAGAGACCCAGAGGAAGACCACCATAAAGCCATCAAACATGCACCAGCGGTCTTTAACATAGGAGTTCTCTCCCTGGAAACAGAGGCAGGTGATAAGACACAGGCTGTAAATGAAAGTCCACAGGTGAGTGGCAGCTGGTCCGCCAGTTTAATGAAAGATTGTGGCAGCTGTTAACAACAGAGCAGGCAAAATTCAGCAAACAGAAGTGTGAGCACTTCAGAGTATTTATCCTGCCAGGCATTGTCTAACAAGTGTGTGCCCCAAGTACCTAGAAGAACTAAACATGGTACAAAAAATATATGCAATGAGAACTATCAAACTATGTCTCTAGTGGTAAAGCACACAAAGAATAGAGTAAATAATAATGACAAACCAAAAACAGGAGTCCTTTATGTTCAGGTAGTGGATGCATTACATACCCATATATTTTCATTCATGTTACTGGTTACGTTTAAGCATTTCTTTTAAGCTTTCACAAGTTCATTTTAAATAGTCCTATTATGATTCATTCATTCATTCATTCATTCATAATATTTCTAATTAATTTCTATTTCAAACAAATGTTCTTTTGAACATTCTTTTTTGGAACATTCTATTTATCAAAGAATCCTGAAAAAAAGAATTATCATGGTTTCCACAAAAAAATATTACACAGCACAACTGTTTTCAATCAGCATATTGATTTCTGAAGATTCATGTGACAAAAAAGTAAAAAAAATAGCAATATTACTGTTTTTACTGTATTTTTGATCAAATAAATGCAGCCTGGGTGAGTATAAAAAAACTCTCAATATTAAAATATCTTACTGACCCCAAACTTTGAACGGTAGTATATCATATATTTATACTTTTTATTTGAACATACAAATATTCCATACATTCTCTCAATACATATAAGGTCATTAAAGATTTGTTTTAAATAAATTGCTGCATGTCACACAGCATGTCACACCACAGGGTTTGTCATGTCAACTAGCTATTCACACATGCAGCAGGTGCACAGGTAATGACATCAGAGGTGTGACATGCTCAGGTTTGTTTGCTTGAGTGCAGATTGTCTTCACAAACTGGTGGCTTTTCTTTGATAGAGAGACAGATACTTCAGTGGTTGAAGCACTTGTTCTCCCAAGACATCTGCCAAGAAATCTCCTGGGATTTCAGAGCCTCTGATCAGCTATGGTGCTCAGATCTCACATTGGCCACAAACATGATTTATTAAATGGATAGCTTAAAAACTGTGTGAAGGTTTGGTTATTAACTGACATTATTAACAGCAACTGGCAGAGCTTGAATTTGGAATATTGTTTATGCTGATAAAGGAGTTATTTAAGATGAAAACAGATGGCCTAATTCACAACAGATAATGAATTTTTTTACATTAATTCAATGTTTAGACCAGTGTTTCCCAAACTTTTTTTAGTCTCGGCACCCTTTGGATATTTTAACAAACTTGTGGCACCCTACAAAATTAATTTTGTCACAATATTTGAATTTCTAACTTCGATATGATCATTTGAAAAGCTATTATTATCAGAACACGTGAGCATAACATAGCGGTTAGCAGATCAATGAATGAGAGGGCAGCGTTACCAGAGTTGCCCATATACCACACCATGTTACAGTAGGGCTATTGCAGACAGAAACAATACTGTACTACATAGATGTTTCCTGTCGGCTCAATTTCTGAGTGGACTTTGCTGTTCTGATGAGCATGAACGGTATACGAGTGGAGCGACTGAGCGGAGCGCACACGCATAGAGTGGGATAATACGCAAAGCTTCACACGACGTGAAAGTGAAACCTGAGCGGTGAACTAATTTTTGGCAGCCAAAATTTCGCCGCATGTCTAATTATTGGCGACATCAGAAATGGATATTATATAATAGATGTTTTTTTGAACATTTTAGCAATTTAAAAATATAAAAAAAATATTTTTTTACACGGCACCCCTGCTCTCGACAGACGGCACCCCAGGGTGCATTGGGAAACACTGGTTTAGACTACTGCATTAGCAACTAATGCTGTTTCCGAGTCCAGAATATACCTAATGGCAAAAATATACCTGCTAACAGTGATAAAGAAAACAAGAAGTCACTGAATTTCACAGATCATAACATGCACTCAAGAGAAGGAAATATAAAACAAATATACTGGCCTAATTAACTGTCACCAGTATAATAATGCTGTGAGTTACTCTCCTTCAATAAAATTAAAATGCATGTGTTAACTTCGCATATAATTGCTGCAAGGTTAATCACCCTGTCCTCACACAATCTCAGGTCTAAAGGAACAAATTAATTACTCTATCTTCTACATAAACCTTACTGCTTTCCTTGCCAGAATAAAGATGAAGACATTTCCAGGCATCTCTTCGCAGGTTCAGGAAGCAAATGATTCACTTATTCAATGTCAATCTGTGCGGTTGTTATCCTCGATTCACCAATTAAACTGTCCAGACACTATTTAGCCACCTCCCATTTTATTCACTTCCAAAGGACAGCCTTTTTTCCTCATCCTATTTCCGTTATAAATCGTGACAATGCTGATTGAAAGTGTTACCTTGATGATGCCCCTGATATGCATTTTGGCGATCATCTCTGCAGTGTAGAGGAACATCAGCAGCGTGTCCAGGGCGAAGGTGACATACTGCAGGGGCGGGTAGTGCTCAAAGGTCTTAGGTGTATTCATACACACCGAAATTACACTAATTATGGCACAGGCTCGCAGGAGAGAATGCACCCACTAAGGACAAATAACAATTTGTTTTAGAGTGTGGAACATCCTCATGGTTTCAGTTGTGTACCTTTTCCAAACAGAGTGGAAACACTCTCAGAAAAAAACAGTACAAAAACTGTCACTGGGATGGTTCCCTTGCAAAAGGTACACTTTTGTACCTTATTTACCCCAAAGGGTGAATATTAATACCTTAAAGATACATATTAATGTACATACAGTATTTGTACCTAAATGGTTCATATTAGTACATTTTAAAAGGGTACTGCCACAGGTGACAGCTTTTGTTGACAGAGAGTGTAGTGTCTATTGTGATTTGTGTGCTATATAAGTTATGCTGATTGATTTTGCAAACTATCATTTGTAATCATATTATTTTAATGTGTTATGGTTTTTGTAAATCTTGTAGCACCAACAGTTTGACTGTTTACTGCACTTTCTTATTCGTCTAGTTATTTACCTATAGCCAGTTATGAAGTCTTGCACATTTACAGGAAATAGCTTCCCTGCTAAAAAAATAAGGTGGATATATGATCTGGCAAAATAATAATAGTAAGTAATAAAGTAAAAAATTGTATGCCCTATTGTATGAAATTGCACCTAGTTAGGACAAGGTTTTAGCTTGTCAAGTATCTTTTTTGTGAGTATGTGTGAGTCACGAATTATTGTGAAGAACAGCCACATGGTAAGGTTCCAAAGATTTGTTCACATACTGGTTTGTTGATCCAAAGAATGTCAGCACTGTCTGTCAGTGTTTCATCTGGCCCAAAATCGGTCATGGGCTGGGCCTCGACCCGCGAGCTCTGCTTCCTCTTCAGCATGCTTGGGCTCGCTGTGCTATAGAGAGAGTGGATCTGGAAGACAAAAGCACATCGACCACAAATGCTAACTTAAACCACACATCAGCCAAAGCTCAAATCTGTTTGTAGCTATTTATTCTTTATTAGATGCTAACTCTATACATGCTGTAAGCACTTACATTACAAAATTAAATTTAGCAAAATAATAAAAACCTTACAACAGGATACATGCTAATTACTATAATTATGTGGTTTAAAAAACACCTCAGAGGAAGTGTCTTATCAAAAGTCCTAAGCAAAGAAACATCTAGTAACTACAACATGCAAACAGATTTGAGCTATTTGTTCATTGTGGCTGTACAGTACGACATGAGGACACAGCTCTGTATGGTACCAGACATTATGTATCGTTATGTTGCACAGCCACCATTAAACGCAATCAAGCAAATGACGTACATAAAACGCAGACTGTTGACTAGACATAGAAATACCGACTTACCTTCTGCAAAGATCACAATGGATCTTCAGCATAACACAAACGACAGGCAACCGATAATGAGACTGCATAATACTGGCACTAGAGCCATTCTTACCGAGGACGATAATAAAACATGGATATCACACACTCACTGAAACAAAGCGCACATACCAACGGGAAAAGTAAAGCTGAAATTGCTCCAGCACTGCACATAACATGCGATCAGGCATACCCTGTAAATAACACACAACAGTTAGTCAACATGGCATATGGTGTACCAAACGGGTACAATTATATCGACAAATAATGTCCACCACATCAGACAAGGCATATATGCAACACTGAGTGGCGGAGTCATGGACGGATGGGATTGTGGGACCAGGTTACTCACGGTCAGGCTCCTCATTGGTGCATTCATCCCCGGCATAGAGAGGAATTGAATTCAACACGAAAGACAGCTGATCGGAGGAGTTGAGGTCTATCCTGCAAGAACATCATTAGCCTTTTATTCTTATTTATAAAAGAGTTGCGTCAATGAATGCTGCATCACACAACAGATGAAAACTTGACCTTTACATGTGATATCAATACAAAAGGAACAAATCCTGCAAACTGTCATGTCCAGTAAGGTCAGGCAGGCCTTCGTGCGTCAAACATCGTATAACATGACAAAGAGCTTTTCCAGAGTGAGTTGGTAAACATTTCAAAGTCAGATGTAACATAAATTACACTACATCAAGGTCATTCAAAGGTCAGTTCGGAACAATGGCAAGATTCACATTTAAAGTAAAAGTAAAAACATTTGATACAACTTGAAGCCTAAAAATGGAAAGTTGAATCTTAAAAGTTTTTACATTTATGGCAAGAACATAGTGGTCTCTGCAGAACAGCTTCTATGTAGTCACAGTCAGGCAATTTGCTACAGTAAAGTAATTGCTACAGTTAGCAAATGTTGATGGATAGAGGCTCGAAGACAACTGAAAACAAAATTACAGGGTGTAAGTGCAGTAATGTAGGAGTAAGTTGCAGAAGACTACAATTAGTTTCACTTTTACAGAAAGGACTATTTGCCTAAAGGCAGGATGTAATCACTAAACACTTTAATGTTGGCTGGTGTTGTGAGTTTTTAGGCTTGTTTGTTACATATGCGGTTTGTGTTTTAGATTATATTGCATAGGCTATGAGAAGGATACAGTAATTATTGCCCCAAAGGCTTTTGCTGCTAAAATTTGCTACAGAATATAAAGCAGTATACAGTTTAGAACAACTGATTAGATTGGATAGCCAATCCCAACTTCATATTTTCCTTTGATTCAAATGATGTATAAGAACTACAGAAAATAGAGACAGAAAATCAATGAACTCCAAATGAATGGATAATATTTACACATTTCTCTGTGAATGTGTAAATACTTACCTGTAAAAATATGCAAAATACAAAAATGCATCAAATGTATATTCATTTTATTCATTTGTACAGCACTAATAACCAGAATAATATTACTTTTTGTTCATGTTTGATTTTGAACAAACCCATTACCAGGGTCAGAAATTAACCAGGGCTGAGGGCAAAAATTATTTAAAAGAAAAATGCCACAGATATTTTAAATGTGTTGTAAATTTGCCCCATGGTATATTTTTTGCCCCATATATATTGTATATTACTTTTTTGTAGACATAGACCTAGTCATACCAGCCATCCATCCAGAGTGTTTGCCTGCCAACGGCCCGAGACCCTACATAGGACATAGGGTCTTCATCTCACTGAATGTACGGTAATGCGATTTTTTTCCATGGAGAGAAAGAAAAATCCTAAAATAAGTCTGAAATTATTCAATAAAACACTCCAAACAACTCTACAAACCTGCAACATCCATTTCATAAAAATAGTATGACAGTATAATCAAACATACAGAAGAGACTGTAAAATTATAATCTAATTTAGCAAAGCATTTGTTCTGATAGGATAGGTTATTGTTTACTGCTACTTCTGTACCTTCTGTAGAAAGAAAGAAAGTCAATCTCAGTGGGCAAATATTGTTTATGAAACTGGTTGCTACATAATTCCTGGTGGGGACTCCCTAAAATTAAATCAATAAATATTAAGACAATAAATATTGTCTGTCTATCTTCATGCTCAGCGTCTCGGTTCTGTGTTTTTACCAACAACCACCTAGCCATTTTCAGATCCACATCAGCAATCTTAGGTTCATCCAAATAACACCATATTATTATGCAATAAACACCCTGCTTCTGTTATTTACCTAGACAGATATTCAACACAAGACCTCAATTTTTACAGACCACTGCCAAAAGCCACTTGTCTTCAAAAATGCATCACAATTAAAAGCAAAACTTGAAAGCATACTTGAGGCTACGTGGCACACTGGAACACAGTGATATCAGTCATGATACATGAGCATCATGCAGGGAGATTCCTCCTGCTGCTGCAGGGTTACCATGGCAACAGATGAGAGCAGAGCTGCTGCTGCTATAGCTCTTGCTAAATAATCTTTTTCAAGAAAACACACGAATTACATAAAACATAAAGGCATATCGATTATGACATTGTGTGCATTACTGTCTAAATTTGTCACAAGCGTATCCGAAAAGGGTTTCAATCGATGACAGCGCTGAATTTTTGAACAAAGGCCTTTTGACTGCGTAGTCGGTTGCATACACTTCCTGGTAGACGTGCAAACAAGCCAAATAAAACAAAAGACATCAATTATCTGACACTCTAGTCGAATTCACATGTCGAAACGACAGAAAAACGCTCTGGGACTTACTGGTTTGTTGCAGTATCGCCGTTAACGCGGTGTATAATCCATAACTCGTTGTACTGAGCTCGAGCTTCATGCACAGCAGCCGCGCGACAGATGCGCACCGGACGCGCGTGACCCTCTCCAGCACAGCAAGCAGGATGAGATCCCGCAGGCCTTCACATGTGCAATATCAGTATTGACATAAACAAGTTTATTATTTTAATGAGTGTTAAATGCAGATACAATGTCATTGAATTGAAACACTTTGAAATCTGAAATTGAATTTTAAGTCACCGTTAAACGTTCTTGAATAAGCAACTTTGAATAGTATAATAACAGAAACAACTAATATTGGTTATATCAACTTATCCTGAGATTACCATAGGAAATAATAAATAACAGCTAATAATAATATAAATAACAGCTAATAATAAGTTAGACCGGGACTTGTCGTCACAGCACTACATATTGCTCTATTGTTGGTTTGATTGATTCTATTGTCCTCATTTCTAAGTCGTCTTGAATAAAAGCATCTGTTAAATGACTAAATGTAAATGTAATGTAAATGTAAATAATATAGATATGGACCAGGACTAGTTGTCACAAGAGCTATATTATAGAATCTATGTTTTGAATGTGTTTGAGTGAAAACTCCAATTACCCAATTTTTTTTCAGTTAAACCATCTAACAAATGCAATAATAATGTAACAGCAAAACAATTAATATTAAATATAATATTAATTCTCATTCCTCATCATCTGAAACTACAGAAGTCAAGGGTTGAAGGATTAAAGGGGTAGCCTAGCCTTCTATTTGCCTGGAGGTTGCTTTTTAATAATTGTCAGTGGAATGTTGAGACGTTTTTATATGGGGCAGGTTGTCACATCTTTTAAATGTTAGACTTTGATGTGCGCCGCACATCGCCCGTGACGACGATCATCGTGTCAGGACCGCTTCCCACATATCGACGAGGACACGAAAGCTTCAGTAGACTTTTGCTTTAAATGAATGGTTATTGTCATGGTGTAAAGAACAGAAATTGCTCTTTGTTAATAATTGGAATCTTTTCTGGGAGCGTCCTAGGCTTTTTCGCGCTGATGGCTTGCACCCCAGCAGAGTCGGAGCGGAACTCATGTCGGACAACATCTCCAGGACGCTGCGCTCCATATGACTAGTAAGTCAAATCTCAAATAACTGCCCTGATGACTTGTGTTCTGCCCGCTTAAATGATAGAATTATTTGTGCTGTCCAATCTATAAAGACTGTGTCTGTTCCCCGAATAGTGAGGTCAAAATATAAATTTAATGCAGAATCTAGAAAAAATCTTATCGTGATTAAACCAGAAAAATGTAAAATAAAAATTAAAGTTTGGGCTCCTAAACATTAGATCACTCTCACCCAAAGCAGTTATTGAAAATGAAATGATCACAGATAATAGTTTTGATGTACTCTGCTTGACTGAAACCTGGCTAAAACCTAATGATTATATTGGTCTAAATGAGTCTACTCCACCAAGCTACTATTATAAGCATGAGCCCCGTCAGACTGGTCGTGGTGGCGGTGTTGCAACAATATATAGTGATATTCTCAATGTTACTCAGAAGACAGGATACAGGTTTAACTCATTCGAAATACTAATGCTTAATGTTACACTGTCAGATATGCAAAAGAAATCTATCATATCTCTTGCTCTGGCTACTGTGTACAGACCACCAGGGCCGTATACAGATTTCCTAAAAGAATTAGCAGATTTCCTCTCAGACCTATTGGTTACTGTTGATAAAGCGCTAATTGTCGGAGATTTTAATATTCACGTTGATAATACAAATGATGCATTAGGACTTGCGTTCACTGACCTAATAAACTCTTTTGGAGTAAAGCAAAATGTCACCGGGCCCACTCATCGTTTTAATCATACGCTAGATTTAATTATATCGCATGGAATTGATCTTACTGATATAGATATCGGCTGTAAAGTTGCTTTGCAATGATTTGTATGGTGAAAAGCGCTGTACAAATAAACTTGACTTGACCATTTAGCGCCCAAACTCTGGAATAACCTACCTAACATTGTTCGGGAGGCAGACACACTCTTGCAGTTTAAATCTAGATTAAAGACCCATCTCTTTAACCTGGCTTACACATAACACACTAATATGCTTCTAATATTCAAATCCGTTAAAGCATTTTTAGGCTGCATTAATTAGGTCAACCGGTACCGGGAACACTTCTCATAACACCCGATGTACTTGCTACATTGTTAGAAGAATGGCATCTACGCTAATATTAGTCTGTTTCTCTCTTATTCCGAGGTCACCGTAGCCACCAGATCCAGTCTGTATCCAGATCAGATGGTCACTGCAGTCACCCGGATCCAGTACGTATTCTGACCAGATGGTGGATCAGCACCTAGAAAGGACCTCCACAGCCCTGAAAGACAGCGGAGACCAGGACAACTAGATGAGCCCCAGATACAGATCCCCTGTAAAGACCTTGTCTCAGACGACCACCGGGACAAGACCACAGGAACCAGATGAGTCCTCTGCACAATGTGACATTGCTGCAGCCTGGAATTGAACTGCTGGTTTCGTCTGGTCAGAGGAGAACTGGCACCCCGACTGAGCCTGGTTTCCCTCAAGGTTTTTTCTCCATTCTGTCACCGATGGAGTTTTGGTTCCTTGCCGCTCTCGCCTCTGGCTTGCTTAGTT